CCGGTAGGACTCGTCAAGAGCTTTTTGAAATGCCCCTGTGTCATCTGTTTTGCCATCACCTTTTGCGCCAAACTGCCAAACTGTACAAGAAGAAGAGAGCCGCGGGTTTGAAATTGGAACCATTGTTAACAAACAATCATCAAGTGTGGGGCACAGCCCAAGTCCGACGATACATGTGCCGAAGCAGTTCCCTATTGGATTACTGTACTTTCGTACGGTATGCGGGCATGCGAGACAAACAGCCAGACAGACTCATACACATCATAAACATACCTACACGCATAGACACACGCACACATAGACACGTGCCATACACACACATGCCATACACACACCATACACACACATGCCATACACATGAACAAACGTACGTGACCATGCATATGGGGTTACATTGTAATCACTCCTTCCCCCCCCCCCCCCCCTTCCCTCCTCCAGGGTTTGGCCATCTCCTCAGTTTGCAGTGTGTCATAGGCCTTTGAGGTGAACGTCATTCAACAACTAACTACTTGGAAACTGTTGGAATTAACGACTGACTTGTGCGTATGGTCTTTCATCAGTCGCGCTATAGGTACCTTGCGCTGTATAGTATTGCCTCAATAGTGCGATTATGTTCAAATCTGAAATGTAGAAAAGAATGTATTCGAATGGAAACATTTTTTCATTGAAACGTACCATTTAGGGCATACGTTCCATTTGGTGTTTGCGGCTCTGGTGTTGGTGGTGCTGCTGCTGCTCCGAATCCACTCGTCCCCGCACCCAACGCTGCGTTATCTAGGTGTCCATGCTGGTGTTGCGTATGATGTGTGCGAGTCGGGTGACTAACAAGAGGTACTCCGCGTCGGGCAGCCCAGAAGCGACCGAAATCGTTGTCCTCGCCGCCTGTCGACGGCAAATTCAATTCGTACTGACGACGAGGTATTTCAAGAGCGCTGCTAGCTGTCGCAGCGGTTAGCCAAACGAGCCAGCAGGCAAGCAATAAGGGTTTCATTGTCGTTAGACTGATGATGAGGAACGATCGACTGACACGGTATTCAACGAACAGTTTGCTGTTTTGTTGCTCGCGAGGGGTTGTTACCGACCAGATAAATATTTTAAATTAATTTATTTTTATGATTTTCTGGTGTGGTATGATCAGATTAGGACGCATTCAGATTCCCGAGAAGCGAGAACCCTGTGAAACCGTGAATAAGCCGTGAAGGACATTCGCGTTCGCACTACCGATAAAACTAACATTCCTTTTGCAGCTCTCATTGCGCGGCACCGAGAAGGGATTTCCCCTATTACAAGCCTGAGCTCCTTTTTACACACACACACACATACACACACACACACACACACACACACACAAACACACGCACACACATACACACACACACACACGCACACACATACACACACATACAGAAATACACACACACACACATACACACACCATGTACACACACCACACCATGTACACACACACACACACACACACACACACACACACACACACACACGCACACACACACACACACACACACACACACACACACACACACACACACACACACACACACACACACACACTTTTTGGACCTTTTGACGCCTATCGCCGGAGGCGATGATAGCGATGCTACAGCAGAAGCCATAGCAGCTTGTGCTGGGATTGCACCATTCAACAGCTTGCAAGGCTGAAGAATTGACCTCCACTATTCAGCCTGGTCTACACCACACAGCTATGAGTATGAAGTAGGTGTTGGCGGATAATGCCGGCATTATATGTATATAATATAACCTAACCAGTTGATTATATGGAAAATATAAACCTGTATACAAACCGAGGCGAAGCCGAGGTTTGTATATTGGTTTATATTTCCCATATAATCAACTGAGTAGGTTATATTATGGTTATACTGAGCTGATATACAAACTCCCCTCTCCCCCACAAGGGTAGAGGTTGGAATTCCAACCCACAACCATGGCTCGACGAGTCTTCCTTTCACCAACCTGTGCGGATCAAGTACAAGACTACCACTGACTCTGTGCAGTGCATGCAGTGCTAGTGCAGTACCATCACACACTCTTTGTGACTTCAGTTTACATGGTTTAGTACTGAAGTACTAGTTACATCGGAAGTAACAGCTATGCGCCAAGTAAGTTAGTTTGAACCTCACAGTGCTAGTGACCGTTACCGCGCGCAGATCTCACCGCGGGCTCTGTAAAAGAACCGTTTGCTCATTACTAGTCATTAGACTTTAGAGACATAGAGTTCGTCTCCTTTCCAAAGTAAGAGTAAAATTAATCAGCACGAGCCTGTTGAATCGACTCCCAAACGTTTCTTCTGAGGACGACCACGAATCACGATGCCATTATTCAAGCAGCAGTTTCTAAGAACACTGGCAGTGCCACGGATTATGGCTGCGCATGTTCCGTCCGCTCTGCGAGGGACGCGGAAAGGAGAACATCGATTGGAAAACCATAAGTAGTGAAGTTCCGTCGCCCCTGCTATCTGCATTCTATGTCCATGCAAAAACGCAGGAGGAGCGGCAAGCATTACGAGGCTAAAAATGGCATTATACGACGTTCTACATGACTGCATAGTAGATCTACACACATCCTCATGTACAGATTCGTATCGGCTATAGCGTTGGTCTTTGATTGGCAACATTTATTACTATACGCGATGTGTTACTATAGAATAGTCTACAACTAATAGACCCTTTGCGCAATAAGCGAGAGGGGTCGAGACGGGGCATGCTGTGCACGCGCTGCACACTTGGCATGCAACCAGCATGCATGGTTTTGCTGCAGGACGTGATCAAGTTTCCTGTGACAGGCTGTGTTTTCACGGTCCCGACGCGATGTTCATGTATGTACTCCCCAGACTTTTTTCATTTTGAAGTTTTTCTAGTTCTGAAGGAAGAAGTCCCGAAATGCTTTCCAAGGACCACTGTTGGGTTCTTGTTTGCAGCTACTTGTAGCAACCGTCATCCCTAACGTTAGTCTAAGGAACCCACTTGTCTTTCCATGCGTTCCCTGGTGATGCTGGCATTCCACACTCTGGAATCCTGGCTATCTGGCGAGAAGAGGGCCGCAGTGCTGCGATATCGTTTACAGTGTTGTGCTCGGAACACTTTGCCCATGACGACTTTCATCCTTGCTTTTGCGAAGATATGGAACGCCCTGCCAAGAGACTCTGGAGCTTGAGAAAAAGGCATGACCCATCCCTGTCTTCGCTATTGGAAGATCGACTGCTTGCTTGCGCTGTTCGAGCTGCTGTTGTTGAAGTGGAGAGAGATGCGGCCTCATCGCTCAGGTGTGCGGAGAAAGTCATCTGAGTTCGAGCTGTGGCTGTGTGCACGATATGACAGACTTTCACATTATGCACATAGCCACCAAAGTAAAACTCATGGACACTATCCACGGGCTTGTTCACTAGTACTACTCCATCAGCTCCCTCTTCACTGTCGTCGGCGACTTGCCGCTGCGTTGGAGACGAGCAAGCATGGTGTGGCACTCACTCTGGGAAACAGAGGTTCATCACTCATCCACTGGGACGCATGAAATGTTGGGCATGATGAAGGTACACTCGAGGAAGTGGTGCCCTTCTTAGTTCTAGGAGCATCAGGGTTTTGCATAGAGAAGTGTTCTCTACATCGACAGAGGAGAGAAGGTAGAGAAAATAAAAATAAATTTCAATCTACAGTAATCCGAAATATCCACTGAATGCGGAAAACTTACCGCTCCAACAACTCCTTCTTTTTCCAGACAGATACGCACCCTCAGTCAGCAGAAAACTGTTCAGTTCACAACCGATCTTCATTTGACCTTTCGTCCACTGGTTCCACAGCCATTGATGGCATACCACTCGACACTCTCTCCTCCATCTCCAAAATGGAAAAATACAGTGTTCCACCATGCTCAACAACTGATTATTATTATTATTCACACATATCCGCCGGATGAGTACGCGTGGCCCATGCACCATGGGGACCCACGAATACAAACCAGCATATGTTCCCTCAGCAATACAAGCAAGCAAGCACGCAAAGATAAATGAGAGCCCAGGCAGCGAAAACAAAACGAAGAGAGATGAGGACATAGGCAACGAAAACAATTCCAAAGCATAGCCAGGGATTGAATGTGTGCATCTGGGTACGACAGTTAACACGGCTAGTGCAGCCGTACAGAGCGCAGCAGCATGTAAATACAAAAGCGCCACAGCAGCAGCAGCCAAGAGTGTGCAAACACTAAAAAAGAAGATCAGTCCATGAAAAAATTATTGTCGCCACAGGTAGACATCTCCGGCAAGAATGCATGCGTGCGCACAAGTAGGCAGGTAAGCATGTCAGATGTAATCGTATTATTATGGCCAGGCTAATTAACAGTGCTGTTTCGCAATAAATTCCATCGGCATTTATCATACGCCACCTTCCGAAGCTGGGCTAGGCCAGGTCGCGACAGAAGCACAAGCCCCAGCTTCTCCCGACAATCCAGTGAGAGAGTGGTTAGCAGTGTTGTTCTTGGTCTGCCTATCCTTCCCCGCAAGGCACCAGAAGCAGCAAAATCGAGAGCGACCTGTGGCGGTGCCCCTGATGGCATCCGGAGCACATGCCCCAGGAAGCTCCATCGCCTCGCCGCGATCTCCTTGGAGATGGGTTGGGTGCGACAGCGGTTGTAGAGTTCCGTGTTTTTGATTATATTTGGATACTTTATACGGAGTAGCGAGCGGAGGTGACGGCGGTGGCAAACGTCCAGAGACGTTCTGAGTGCCTCAGTGAGGCCCCAGGTAGCGCAGTTGTAAAGCAAAATGCTTAGAACGTAGCAATTGTACAGCCTCAGCTTCAACGTTAGGGAGATCCCTGATGACTGTAGAAGGCTTTGCATCCGGCCAAATGACTGCGATGCCAGAACCATTCGGTGTTTGATGTCCTCGGCAGTACCAGCTCTCGATCCAACCGACTTTGCCATCCGCCATTCTTCTTTCCCTCTTTTTTCCAGGTCTGAATCGAGGTAGAAGTGGGTCCGTTCAGTTTTCGCGCCGTTGACCATCAATTGGTGTTCTGGTACTCCCCAACTGATACTCCCCACAAAAATCGAAGAGGATGCCCCGTCTCGGATCACGTGACCGTTATTGTGCAAAGGGTCTAATTACAAGCGAGAGACCACCGCACACATCATGCATGGTACCAAACAGATCGTGACACGCAGTGCCAGGCCCAGCATACTGCATGCAGTATAGTGCTAGCTAGCTGTGGTCCAGCACAGTGTGGAAACTCTCGCAGAAACTTCCGGTCCCGGAAGTCTATATTCGGCCAGCAACTAACTACAAAGGCCACACTGAAGAAGGTCTGTGGTTCGACTCACCCGACCGACCGTACATTTTTCAGCCCGACCGTAACTTTTTTTCGGCGGGCTGTCGTGTGACTGACGTACGTGGACTGAACACGTCCACGTCTACGTGCTGTGCAGCGTGAGTCTGCGGACGCAGGCGGCTCCTTTACTTTAGTTTTGGACTTGACTTGTACTTTGTTGTAGTTGTACTGCAGTGCAGTACAGTGCAGTGAGTGGTACGACTGCTGCCTTGTGCTGGTAGTAGAGTCTACTCGATACGACCACCGGCAGACTGGCGAGACTTACCGTATTTCCGCAAATAAAAGGCCGTCCTCGTATACAACGCCTTCCTCGTATACAAGGCCGGGGCAGGGGGCGATTGAAAAAATAAAAGACCGTCTCCGATTAGAAGACCGGGCCTACTAAATGAGTCTTTGTTCTTGTGTTAAAGGGGAAGTTAAGGCAAAAATTAAAATTTCACCAGTTGTAGTCTTCGGGGTGCTGAGTCGAATGGTCTTGGTCCGAGGAAGCTGATACGCTCCCTTCCTACTTGAATCCCAATCGAACTCGCGCACTTCCACCGAAACTGGGTGACTGCGCCCTACTAGATGGGGATTTGTATGCAAAATGTCACTAAAAGCGCCATTTCGTTCTTATAAAATCACGGATGACCGCGATTGGCCCATATGTTGTAGTCTTTTGGACGCCGAGTCGACTGGTTTTGGTCCGAAAAGGCTGCGATGCAGCGTTCCTCCTTT